AACTCTCTTAGTATATATATTTCAAAAATCTAGAATAAACCTTTGTCCAAAAGTTTTTCTTTTTATGTAGTAGCTAAAGGAACCAAGCTTGGTATTTACCATGATTGGTTAGAAGTTGAACTCTTAGTTAAAAATTTTCTCATACCTCAGTTTAAAGGATTTTATGATTTCGAGTCAGCCAATACATATGCCCGAAGACAAATAGGAACCAGCTTTATCAGCCAGATAGCTAAAGATTACCTGGACACATTGGGCAAGATGCAGTCAACCATTCTTGCTACTAGTGGAGTTCCAGTTAGCTACATAATTGGAAGTAGTAGTAATGATCCTCAGATAGATTCTCAAAATCCTCTCCAAATGTGCAGACATTATGAAGGCCTTACCAGAAATTTCAAGAAAATTATGAAAAAAGGCAAAAAAGTTAATGAAGAGCCAGACTAGCTCTGAGACGAAGAAAATCAATTGATAACAACCATTCGAATCCTAACCAACCAGCTTAAAAAATTAGCTCCAAGTAAAGCAACCGCCTCTTTTCCTAACCTAGAAATCAGACAACTCACTGGTGAGAAATTTGAACAATTGAGTGCTAGAATGTATTTCTTCAGGCATTCTATCATTCGATCTTTTTGTGAGAAAAGCCAAGAAATAGAGGACCTTAAACCCTATATATATACCTTAGCCGAAGATAGCAGAAAGAACGAGTTAGTTACTATTCAGCAATTTCTTCAAGACCTCTCCATAGTAGGAGTTTAATGCCCTGGTATAGCTTATTAATGGACTTATCTCTATGAAGACGAAGAGCAGTCCTGCTCAGAAGAGGAAAGATGTATGGACAGGTCAAAACATTTTGGTCGATGCCAGTGTAATTTAGATTTCAGCATTTTCCTTTGCCAGATAAATCTAGCAACGTTCGAACCATTGGAGATAGAGATTAGGGGCAAAGCGCGTTATCTAACGGCCTCACAATTGTTAGATTACAGCTTTGTCTTTAGAATAATTTTTTCAGATCCAGATTAGACAGATAGCTTTGGAAATAAACTTGCTCATTCAGTACTTTGTGTAATGGAAGAGCATCATCCATATGTATAAGCATTAATTGATAGCAGGCTACCTGAGTGGAAAGAAATAAGGTGCATTCCAGCCAAGCATATAATGTACCTCAGAGGAACCTCAACATTTCCGAGATATCCAGGACTTCTCAATCGGAGACCCTGGCCATGCAGAAAATTTTCACTCAGAGATCAGCTCAATAAATAGAGGAATTCGCTAATAATCCTCTATTAGCATATAATGGAAATTATGGACATCTAGTTTACGAAGATAGAAATTAGAAGATATACTGTAACCCAACTATCCCAGGATATCCCTTCAACAAAGAAACATTCGTTGATGAAAGTCAGTATCCTAACTACCAGCATAGCGTCTCTCATGAGTCACCACTAATAGGAGAAGCTGACCAAGATAATCAATGGGAAGATGAACCAGCCATGGGGGATGATTTTTACGACCAACTTTCAGCGGCAGACCTGGACGATCTCTCAGACAGAATGTATGGTTTAAAAAAAAAAAAAAAACCTTAGCCTTCTTTATTTTATATATATATTATAAAAAAAAATTAAAAACTTAGCTCCCGTTTAGCATAAAGTTTTTGGAGTTAAAATGTTAAAATAATCCCAAAAAGGATAAAATAGGTTAAAAAGTTAATATGATAAAATATTACATTTAAACCATAATTATTTCATTTTTTATCTTTTATAAAAATTAAAAAAAAAAAACCTAAATGAAACAATTTCAAAATCAGAACCAGACCCTAGTCAAGAAATGGCGACTAGAGACAGCCGCAGCAAATCAGAGAATGTGAAGACAATCTGCAAACAATTCGACGCCAACAGAGACGGTGGTCTCAATAGGAAACAAATGGCGGCACTCGTCTAGAGTCAAATTCAACGATGATCAAATCGATACCATTCTCGACCAAGTCTTCAAGTTCTACGCTGAATTCATCGACGCCGACAAGGGTCTCACTTGCGATGGCCTTTTGCGGAGCTACGACAACGGTGCCGCCGACTTGGATCGCGACTTCGATTGGACATGTGTGCTGTGCTTCTGCTGTTGATCATGACAATTAAGAATCGAAAATAGGATTTTGATAAAAGTAGAGGAAATCAAGGTGAAATTTGATTAAATTACAAATTACTAATAAGTCGATAAAAATTATCATATGATAGCCCTGTTTGGTAGAGCTGTGGGAAAGTGCTTATAGCTTATGCCTAAACAGCTTATAGCTTATAACTTTCAGCTTAAGCTGATTTCCAGCTTATTCTTAAAGCATCTCCTGCCCAACTCAAAGAATAAGCTGATTTCTGACTTCCACAAAGCTATAAGCTATAAGCTATAAGCTAAACCAAACACATCAAAATAGCTTAAATTAAGCTGAAAGCTGAAATAAGCTGTAAATAATTTCTGCCAAACAGGCACGATATGTGGTTGTAAAAAATAAGGACTGGAAAAAAAAAAATTCAATCTCAAAATTTGATACAGAATTTTAGATTACAAATAAGGGCTCATGAAATCCGATATCTGATTTTTGGTCATGGTTTGTAAAATTGTACTTTTCTTGATCGAATTATTTGTTAGTTCATGGTTTAGAACATTTATAATTGATCATCAATTTTGTAATTTTTATCTCTTAATTTAAAAATTGTTTGAAACATAGATTAAAATCTTAAGATTTTCAAAAAGTATTATTTCTCTATCTTAGAACACGGAATTTTTAAAGTTTGGGAGGCATCAATTTGAAATTCTCTAGCCCTAAATTAAAATTTAAATATCCAATTTTCGTAGTTGACCCTCAATTCTATAATTTTATCTCTTTATTTGAATATTTTGTTCTTTTTTATTTTTATTTTTTTGATCAAAGAATTTCTATTAAAATAAAGATTGCCAAACGGCACTTACAAAGAAATCATCAACAAGTTTATATCAAATTAAATAAAAATCTTGTGCAAAACCAAAAAAAAATACCAAAAGATGAAAATACAAATTTCACAATTTTCCATAGTGATAATAGTGAAATTTCACTACTTTCCGTCTCAAATTATTTGTAATTTTCACAATTTTAGACATCTTAAAAATCGTTTATATTTTTCAATTTTGAATGATTTTGAAGACTTTATCTACCAAATTAATTAAGATATTTTAATTTGTGAACAAAAAAATACATAATCTATTAACTTAAAAGACACAAATGGTACAAATAATTTGAGACAGAGTAATTACTAGTTATTTTTCAAATCTTCCATTTACACTCTCATTTTCAAAATGAATTCACGAAAGATTGTGTAAATGAACAAAAATGATTGAGAGCATTAAAAAGGGAGTATTAGAGGGAGTACTAATGAGCTAGCTTCCCATACGATGTGATGGGTGTCTTTGTTTGTTTGTTTGTTTTTTATTTTATTTACATTTCCAGCTCATTAGAGCTATTAGTGGTATATTTTTTAGAGCTCCCAATCAGCTCTGGTAAATGAATAATGTTAGATGTATCAATTAGTAAACAATTAGTGTATGAATCATGCTACGTAGCTCGAAAGAGAGAGCGCCTGAATCCCCCGAATTCAAAACGACGTCGTTTCGTCGTTTTGATTTTTTTTTTTTTTCAATCAAAAAAGAAGAAAGAAGAACAAAGAAAGAAGAGAAGAAGAAAGAAGAAGAAGAAGATGCGGAGATAGAGGCAAGGGGCGGAGACAAAGGCGGGAGGCAGGGGAGGGGGCAGAGGCAGAGGTAGAGGCAGAGGACGGAGGCAGAGGCAGAGGTAGAGGCAGAGGCGGGGGCTGCGACGATCGGAGGCGGAGACAGAGGCAGAGGCGACGACAGGCGGAGGCGGGGTTGCGACGACGAGTTGCCATCTCCTCTTCCCCTCTCTTCTCTTTCTCTTCTAAATTTCGGGCTGTTTGGGGGGACAAATTTCGGGGAAAAAATCATTTTTCTTAGTGTATTAATAGATGATGTGACATAATTTTAGAGGTTTTGAGTCTTTGTAATGTATATAATGGGTGAAGTCATAATTTTAAAGTAACAATATCGTAGCATTTGTTGGTATACTAATTAATATATTAAGTAATACGTATAGTACCACTGTTGTGTAAAATGAGAGGTGATGACATGATAATAATGACTAATAAATTTAAGATTTTTGTTAATGTCCTTGAAATACTTGATAAGAAGTTTAAAATATTTACACATGAGAGTGGTGTACAATAAATAATATATAATCAATTTAAATATTGTTAATCAATTCTCTTAAGGTTTCGTTTGGGAAGTAGGTTGACTTTTTGACTTTTTTGGCTATTTTAGCTTGGGCTAAAAAGTTTAGTTTGGGTAAGACTTTTTGACTTTTTTGATTTTTTTTGTGAGAGAAGAGTGTAATGATTATGGATTGGATGTGATGTTTTGTTTGTTATTGCTAAAATAACTTATTTTATCTTTTGTGACTAAAATAGCCACAAACTATCTTCCCAAACCTAGCTTAAGACACTCATAGGCCTATTTTAAAAAATAGGTTAAAAGTTAATTGTTTTATTATTTTATTTTTTTTTTAAAAATATACAAAATAGTAAAGATGTGATATAATTAAAAAAATAAAAATAATTAAAAAATTGACTTTTAATCTTATTACCGAATTAAGCCATAATCAAACTGTAAATGAAAATGCAAATTTGATAAATGGTAATATATTGCTAATAAAATTTAAAAAATAAGAAATTAAAAATAGTATCCAGTTAACACCACCTAATAATTAATAGACACATATCCATTCTAGCCAGCTGGCGATTCATAAACTTTAGTCCCAAACCAGTTAAGCATATGAAAACATTCATCACCAAGACCCACTAACCAACCAAACACATACATACCAACAAAAATTTATTAACAGATGAGAAGTCAATTATGGTGGAGTCTCTAGAACCCTACCACCTCCATGATCACAGCCAGAAAAAGTAAAAAGAAAACTGGAGAAAGAAAATGCAAAAAGAAAATGCAAGAGAAACTAGAGAGAGAAAGAGAAACTTTTAAAAACTAGAGAGAGAGAGAGAGAGAAAAGTGTTCCACTTTTTGTTTTCTCCTCTGCCTTTTTATCTTCATTAGATTAGATTAGATTAGATTAGATCCGATGAGACCAAGCTAACACTATCCACACAAACCCAGAAACAATTAAGAAGCACCCACCCACCCCCCCGGAAACAATTTCAAGATTAAGGTTTCAAAATTCTTTCTCTTCTGAAACCCTAGAAATGGCGACCAGAGGTAGCAGATCAGAGAAGGTGAAGAGAATCTTTCAACAATTTGATTCAAACAGAGACGGTGGTCTCAACAGGGAAGAAATGGCGGCACTCGTCGTCGCTGTAAACCCTAGGGTTAAGTTCAGCGACGAGCAAATCAACGCGATTCTCGACGAAGTATTCAAAACCTACGCTGAATTCATCGATGGCGAGAAGGGTCTCACCTACGATGGACTTTTGCGGACCTACGACGACGGTGCCGGGGACGTGGACCGCGATTTCGACGCGCTAGGGCTCGAGCTGAAACCAGAGAGCGGCAATGGAGTCTCTGCGGCGTCGGAAGAAGCTTCATCGTCTTCGATCACCGACGAGAGGGTGGTGGAGCCGCACAAGAAGCAGAGGACCGCTGCGTGGGCTGCGTCGCCGAATCACGGCATTGTGTTCGACGATACGTGGAAATTGGTGGACGATTTGGAGATTCTGATCAAGAGATTGAAGGCGAAGCAAGCCAAGGATGGGAAATTGAAAGGGGATAATTCGGATGCGTATTCGGACCCTGGATGGTCTAGAGAATTGGGTCCATCCTCAGAGATTTCTGATAAAAGGGTTTTCTGGGAAGAGTCTGGACATGATTATGCCCTGTTTGTTAAAGAATTGGGTGTTTTGAGATCAAGAGCTGATGGAGCAAGGTCCAGAGAAGAGGCTTTTGATGGGCACATGGCCATTGGTAGGGTTTTGTATGAGCACCAGTTGTATAAAGAAGCTTTGGTGAGCTTCAAGAGAGCTTGTGAACTCCAACCCACTGATGTGAGACCACATTTTAGAGCTGGGAATTGCTTGTATGTCCTTGGAAGACATAGTGAGGCAAAAGAAGAGTTTCTTTTGGCATTAGAGGCAGCTGAGGCAAGTGGAAACCAGTGGTCTTATTTGCTTCCCCAAATTCATGTCAATTTGGGAATTTCACTCGAAGGCGAAGGTATGGTTATTAGTGCTTGTGAGCATTATAGAGAGGCTGCAATTCTTTGTCCAACTCATTTTAGGGCTTTGAAACTTTTGGGTAGTGCTCTTTTTGGAGTAGGTGAATATAAAGCGGCTGTGAAAGCTTTAGAAGAGGCTATTTACTTGAAAGATGACTATGCCGATGCACATTGTGATTTGGCTTCTGCTTTGCATGCCATGGGTGATGATGATAATGCAGTTAAGGAGTTTCAAAAAGCTATTGATTTGAAACCTGGTCATGTGGATGCTTTGTATAATTTGGGTGGGCTTTATATGGATATGGGGAGGTATCACAGAGCTTCAGAGATGTATACTAGAGTTTTAGGTGTGTGGCCCAACCATTGGCGTGCACAGCTCAACAAGGCTGTATCACTGTTGGGGGCTGGGGAAACTGAGGAAGCTAAGAAAGCTTTGAAGGAAGCATTGAAAATGACAAACAGGGTTGAGTTGCATGATGCTATATTACATTTGAAGCAGCTACAGAAGAAGAAATTTAAAGGGAATGGAGGTTCGTTGGATGGAGGTGGAGACGAGTCGTTTATCGTTATAGAACCCTCAAAATTTAAGACGGTTGGTGAGAGGACAATACTGAGGCAGGAGCTGGCCAATGCACTTGATATTAGGGCTTTTCAGAGGATCACAAGGTTGAGTCGCTGTGATGTTGAACTTTTAAAGAAGGAGATGACTGAAAGTGATACACCAGTGTCCTATTCTGGTAGTGGTGCTCCTGAGAAGTCCATACGAAAGGCTTCATTGGAGGTAATTCTCCACCGGTTGCTTAATTTCTTGAGGCCAGAAACTTTTGTTGGAGCTGTTAAAGCTATAAACCAGAAAATCCTCTCTGTTCTGGATGAAACAGAGACATGTAGAGTGGATTTGGGCATGTTTTTCGCTGTTCTTGCACCAATTTGCAGTGGCTCTCCTGAAAAAAGAAAACGAGTTGCATTTGATGCGCTGTTGTGGCGACCTGTGAATGAAGATTCTACTCAGATAAAAAAATCAGATGCTTTACGGTACATCAAATTGTTGAGGGCCATCTACATTCCAGCCCATGGTCTGAGTGAAATGCTGGAAATCCATGGGGACGCAGACGTCTCTGTGGTGTCTTTCACGGATTTCCTTGTGATGTTTGACGATCCAGACTGGGGTTTCGGTATCATATCCAGTTTATTAAAGCTTGAAGCTGTGGATAGAAATCGCCATGGTAGACATGTTTGCTCAATTTGCCGCTACCCTATCATTGGGCCCCGATTCAAGGAGATGAAATCCCATTTCAGTTTGTGCAGCCAATGCTACAGCGAAGGAAAGGTGCCTCCTACCTTCAAGCAAGAAGAATATAGATTCAAGGAGTACGCAACTGAGTCAGAAGCAATGAAGGACAAGTGTACGTGGTTCAGTTTGCATTCTAAGAGCTCCTCCCATAGCACCCCTACCTAGTTGTTTTCAGATGATTGTGTAATAATATCCCAGATATAAATTTAGTTGTTCATCAGTGTGAAATATATAGCCTCTAAATGTGTTCAGTGGGCTTTTGTGCCCTTTGTATAATAAAATCCTTGTAAGTGGTTATGCTAAATTCATTGTTTCCCAAAAGCATCTGTAGAGATTTTTTTGGTTAGTTGTCTTTGTTCTAGCTGTTGTTTTTCATGAGTAAAGAGGTCTATGGTCTCTTGTTGTTCATCACATCTTCTGTGCAGAATTTGATATAAACCGTGAAAATAAAATTCTGGTCTATGAGTTTACTGGATTACTTGATTAAATTTACTTATATATTTGGGAGGTTGATAAAACCTAGGCTTGTGTTCTTATGAAAAAACCACCATACGAATATAGTTTTACTTGGCCTAAAATTTAAAGAGATTGTTGCGCTATGGAGTTCTTTCGATTCAGAGCACTAAATTGAAAGATCTAAAAGCACTACTAATGAGGTGGCAGTGTAAAGAAAAAGAAGAAGAAAAAAAAGAAAAGGCCAACTTATCACATTAATGGTAGAATTCACATGATGTCATATCATTAGTGGTGTTAAATTAGTGATATAAAGCATTTTTCTAGAACCAATTACAGCCAGTACAAGCACAATAATGTTCCCTTTTTGTTGTTTTTTGTTTTTGTTTTTTTGTTTTTGTTTGTTTGTAATGCCTTGCTGATTATATGGTCAACAGATTAATGAATATATGTCCTCTAGTCCCATATAAGTTGAAAATAACATCTTAGCTACTTGCTAGTTTAATTTAAACAAGAGATTGGGCTTACTTTACCGAGTAATGCTAAGATGACTATTTATTTTTATCATGTTATCTTATTATTTGATTTGTCATTTAATTTTCAGCATTGCATTTGAAATATATGTGAGTGATGAGATTCAATTACATTGATGTTGTGTTAACGTGTAAGATAAAAAAATATACTATAATATAAAAATATAATAAAAGTAACATTATTATTTTTTTTCATTTTCCTCTAAAAAATGTGTTAATGATGTTTAGGACAAAATTGCAATGAGCGAAGAATTGAAGTTTGAGTAAGAGCCAAAATCTCCTATAGTTTTCATCATAAAACATGACTCAAAAGAGTTTTTATATGGAATTGATGGCAACAAAATTGGGTATAAAATTGTAAGAAAATAGGGTAGGGTGGTTAGCATGTCTCTTCCCAATATTAATTACATCGGAATAACTATAGATTAATTATACTATTATAGTAATTATTTGTTAAATCACTGTAGTTGGGTTGGCCCAACAAATGTAGGCAATATTGATGGGGGTTTCAAGTGCATAATGACTTCTTGATGCCTACCAAAAGAAAGATTGATTCTTCATTATTGACCTCAAGGACCTAACCTCGCCACCATCATTGCATTGGTTCACTACCAATTACCCTTTTTCAAAGTGTTAATAATTTTTTTATGTTAAATACTCAACCCATATTAATTGGATAATTATTTATTAGTTTACTATCTAACAAAAGAAGTATAATAAAGAAAAATTCGTATGTGTTTGGTTTAGTTTTAGAATTATGCTATGAGTGTGGAGTTGTAATTTAAATGTGAAGTTATGAGTTGAATTTTGAAAAGAGAAAATTTGTTTTATTATGAGTTTTGAATTTTGAATTTTGAAAAGAATTTTGAGTTGTATTTTGAGTTTTTGAATTTTGAGTTTTTTAGATTTATTTTTTAAAATATTTAAAATGATTAAGAAGATTTTATTTTTTATTTTAAATATATAATTGTTATTTAAATATTTTATTTTGTTTTGTAAATATTTTAATATTTTCAAAACTCATAATCAAACATATAACTCAAAACTCATAACCAAACTATTTTCAATACTCTATTAAAAATAAATTTTTAAAAAATATTTTTTAATTTTTTGACCTTTAAAATTATTTTTTATTTTATATTTTTTTCAAAAAATATTATTTTTATTTTTATTTTTAAAGAAAAGTATTTATTTTTTTATTGGGGAAATTACAAAAAAAAACCCCAGTGCTTGGCGTGTTTTTTACATTAAAACCCAACATTTTAATTTTAATAATTTAAACCCTGAATTTTTAACCGTGTACCAATGTTGACCCTCCGTTTGCTTTCGTTTGTTTCTGTTAACTTTTTACACTTAGTTGATACACGTGTCATTTTTTGATTCATCCATAATGATTATAATTATTTTATTTCTAAATTACTTTTTTCCTCCCCTATTTCTATTAGTGCTCTTTCTCTCTCTCTCTCTTTCAGGATGAACGATCGCCGACCTCCGGATGCCTCATCGCTAACCTCCGCTTGTTCGCCGACCTTCACGTTGTTCGCCAACTTCCATCCACACCGCTCATACGCCACCACAACATCTTCTATATATATATATATATATATCTCTTTCAGCTCTCAATCGCCTTTTTTCTCAGATTCATATCAGAGCTCTTTGATCAAACTGGTTCACCGAAGTGGCTGGGCATGCTAGAGTGAGAAAGCAAGGGAGAAAAGCATTATTAAAACCCTTTCATTCTTTCCCAAAACCCTAAGACCCCATAATCGTTTGATCATCTGATTTGGAATTGAAGGAAGAGCTTTTTCGGTCCTTGCGGTAGTAAAGATGATTGTAGGGAATCGGAGCTATGAGCAGTGGTTGAGAAGTGCACGACGGAAGAAGGAGGGATTTGCCTATGCGTCTGGCATCTCTAATAGTGGGATTGTGGCAGTCGATGGTTCGTCCACCGCTTCTGCTACCGCTGAGATGAATGGTGGAGGAAGACGACGATGATAAGAGAGACAGAGAGAGAGAGAGACTTATGTGGAGTTGTGGGTGGCCATGTGAGGTAGCGATCGGTATTGGGGATCAACGAACGGCAGCGGTGACAACTGAAGAGAGAGAGAGAGAGAGAGAGAGAGAGAGAGAGAGAGAGAGTGTGTGTGTGTGTGTGTGTGTGTTGATAGGAAAAAAAATGGGATTGATTGATGACAGAGGGAAAAAAAGACAGGGTGAGAAGAGAAAAGATTGTGAGAAGAGAGAAAGTGTTGGAATAATTTTAGAATAAAATAATTATAATAATTATGGGCTAATCAAAAAGTGACACGTGTATTAAATAAGTGTAAAAAGTTAACAGAAACAAATGGAAATAAACGGAGGATCAACATTGGGACACGGTTAAAAATTCAGAGTTTAAATTGTTAAAATTAAGATGTTGGGGTTTAATGTGAAAAACACGTTAAATCCTGGGTTTTTTTTTTCTTTTTTTTTTGGGGGGGGAGGGTTGTAATTTCCCCTATTTTATTTTATTTTTTAAAAAAATATATTTTTTAAAATTTTTAAGTATTGACTAAATAATTTGTTATGATTTACACATAAAAATATTTTTTTTAAAAAAAAACACAACACACAAATGTATGGAATACAATGTACATCAAAATAAATAAATATTTAAAATATAAAATATTTACCCAAAAAAAATAAAATTAAGAAATTTTTTAAATATTTTAAAAAATAAATCCAAAAAATTTCAAAATACAACTCAAAACTCAAAATACAACTCAAAATTCTTTTCAAAACTTATAACCAAACAAATTTTTTTTTTTCAAAACTTAACTCAAAATATGACTTTGCATTCAAATCATGATTCTAAATAATTTTAAAAAACAAAATAATTTTTTTTTGAATTTTAAATAGAGTTTTGAAAAGAATTTAATTTTGAATTTTGAAAGGAGTTTTGAATTGAGTTTTGAGTTGTATGTTTGGTTATGAGTTTTGAAATTTTTTTATTGGAATCACAATTCCAAAACTAAACCAAACGCAGACTCAACATTTCTTATATCTAAAATTTATTAATTTGAAATACCACATAATGCTAAATAATATTTTAAAATTACTTAATAATTACTCATTAATAAATAACAAGGTAGGTAGTATTTTAAAACTATTTGGCATGTTTGATTGGAAGGATTAAAGCATGGGATTAGGATTATTAATCCGTGGGCCCAATCATCCCATGTTTGTTTTGACATTTTGGTTTAGGACTATTAATCCAATGGATAATTAATCTAACAAATTTGTAGGATTATTAGTAATGGGGTAGGGGTGGGATAGTTAATACCACACTAATTTGATAGGATTATTAATACCTCACTATTAGTATTGTGAATCAAACATGGCCTTTAGGGTATAATTGTTACAAGTTGTTTTCCTTTGGTAGGTTGTTAGACCTACTTCAGTGACCTACTCTTAACATCGAAGTTAAATTATAACAAATTCTCTAAAAAGACTCCAACTATGTCAATGTCAATTTATTTTACTTCTTTCATGATTATACTCAAAAATAACATATTTACATGGTGGTGTTTGGGAAGCAAGTTCCCAAATTTTTTTCTTATTTTTTCCACTAAAAGACAAAAGTTTTGCAAAACCAAAAAAAACACATACAAACAAAATATCACATCCAACCCCATAATCATTTCACTTTTTCTCTCACAAACATCACATCCAACTACATAAAAACCCAACTATCTTCCCAAACACCAAAAATTTTTTATCTCATAAAAACCTACATCTACTAAAATCTACATAAAAACTCACTTCCCAAAGTGCAAGAAAAAAAATAACAAAAATAACATGCATGATTACCAAATTAATATTTTAGGTACCAAAATGTGAATTTGGCGTTGCTAAAATGTTAATCACCAGAGATACTCTTAAGAACGTAAAATCATGCAAAAATGTTAAATGTAAATTACACTTTTTCACCCTCAAAATTACACTTCTAAATGTAAAATTTAATCACTTTAGTACTTTATAAATAAAAACAAATTGAAACAAAGTTACAATTAAGTAATCCATTTTGCAACGACACCACAATTGAGCTGTCTTTTTTTGTTGAAATACACGCAAGAATCATGATGTGTTCATCCAACAGGCATGAAAACAAGGAAGCAATTTGATTGAATCTCCGTTCTTTGCAAAAATATTGATACCATTTTATCTTCAAAATTCACAAACTAGCTATAAATTAATCAATAAGTTGCAAGTAATTTTTTCTAAAAAAACAAATAAATAAACACGAGTAGCAATTTAATATGTGTACCAAAACTGGGAGGCAGGTAATGCACACGGCATTCATGATTATGCTGACGATGATGACAGCAATGTCGATGAAAGTCACAGTATCGTCATCAAGACAATTCTTGTCGCCGTTGCCATCACCGGCATCCCTTCATCTCCACCCACTTGAGCAGCAGCTGGGTCAGAATCAGATTCAACCGACGAC